TACGATATAAATCTATAAAGTCTAATGTATTATATACGTGCGTCATATAATGGAAACGATATATATATATATATATATATATATATATGCATTTAAGTACCTGCAGTGATCGTATTCTACAGTACTAAAACAGTAAAACTATTGGGTGTGCACCGCACATGAGCCATCTTTATTTTTTAGATGTTATACTTTTTAGCTCATTTAAAGGTAACTATTGTCAATTGAATGTATCTTTATTAATCGGAAAAAGGAATATTATTATCTAAAATAATAGTTGTCGACAGTAATTCACGGTCGAGACTTCTAAGAAACAAAAATGTTTAAATGATAAAATTATATTATCATGAGACATGAATATAAATCGTTAACCACAGATCGCGGTTATTTTCAAAATTATAGTTACTGTTACTACTTAGAACTTATCCATTGATCTATTAAGTATAAATAACTCATTGTCATTATTCAACTGAATGTTATTATCATGATGTGATCACTGAAAAAAGTTAAACAGTGTTTGACAGATTTATTTGTAATTATCTATTAATATCAGGATAAACAATTTTAAATAAAAATATCGTTTTTAAAAAGAAATTTTATTTTATTTTTATTAACCTCATGATTTTTATAGTTATTTAATTTCTAGAAAAATTTTCAAACGATTAATTTCTATCCTGTTAATACTTCCTCAAACATGGGTAACGGTTAAATTCTTGTAGAACATTCGTATAAAAATATTATAGTTATCTATTAATTATTTTTAGAATTTATTTTTTTCTATTAGATTTTTAGAGTTTAAGATTACTTTTAAAAATGTGTTATTAATTTATTACCAAATAAATAAAAAAAATTTTTTTCGCTATTTAAAATATTTTGGTCACATTTTCCACATTTTAATAAGAATTAATCAGTATTGTATATCATATAATATGTATATTTTATGAGTTAATTTATAAATTATAATAATTTGGTGGTAGTTTCTTTAAGATCCCCTATTTTATACTTAATGCACACCGGCTTCAAAAATGTAGTTACGGCACTGAGTGTACGACAAATGACAATACATACATATTACATACCTACGTTTCTAATCTATAATCTATATAGTTATGTTTCAAAGAGTTGAATAATGAAATTATCACACAAATTTTTGAAAAGTTAGTGTTTACTAAAAAATTCAATATTGTAAATAATAATTTGAGATTTAAGCTATACTTAAAAATGTTCATTGTTTTTGATATAGTTGTGTTTATAAAACGGATCAGTAAAATCTATCTAATTTTAATTTTTAAACGTGCTCTTTGTACGCAGATATACAAATTTATGAATTAAATCACATTTCCATTATAGTAATATATTATATTAAATAAGATTAAAAACGTAATGATTATGAAATACTTTATATTTTAATGCGAACTATTATATTCTGCAGTAACAGAATAGATACATAGAGACAGTTATTATACTAAAATATATTTATTGTCGCTACTGAAGCGAAAAATGTAATTGATGAATTTATATTTTTGACAGAATACCGTTTTGCAATAAATTCGAACTTCACGATGAGAAGATAATTGTGTACATATTTTATGGCCTAACGGGGATATCTTTAAACTCCTTATTAACTCTTATGCGTTTACGAAAGTGGTCATATTACCCGTTAAAAACATTTTGTTATCAAAAATATACGAACGAATTTGTTATAGATCATAATTATACATTTATACCGATACGATTGATATAGGTTATAGTAATGACTCGTACACATTTTATTATGTTTTATTATGTCAGGGAAAAATCTCTGTGATTCAAATTTATACATAACGTAGTACTTACAATGGTTTAATATTTTACACGCACAGTCCACACGCGATTGTTCGGTTGTTATTACATGTTTATACTGTATACTTAATATAGAGAGCGATTTACTAAACATGGTCAATTCCGTTATTTTTCGTTTATAATAATACATTTACTAAAATTTTGAATTTGGTATTATAATATAGTACATCTAACTATCTATAGACCTAACTTTTTAATTAATTATACTATCTAAGAAGTAAAGGCAATATACAGACTTCTAATTTTTTAAATGAGAAGGAACTACAATTTTTTCTATAATTTGTCGAGAAAATAATTTTTTTTAAAGTGATTTACACTTTTAAATCGAAATACGAACCAGTAATTTTTTGAGTTATTTATCTCTGTGTACTAAAGATAATAATAAATATTAGGCCTTTGTAAAGTGTGACGAAAACCCTATGATTATTTGAAAATTATAGCGATATAAATGTATTAAAATTGTATTATAGTTAGTTTAAGTTGTCCAACTACACGTGTGTATCAAGTACCAATATGTAACACCAGACCGAGTGTTACATATCAAGCCTTATGTTCCACGTGTAAAACCATTATTGAAAACGATTATCCTATGAGTATATCGGAGTCTAGTAACTCGCCTCAGAAACTATACTCGTCCGGACTTCGATTTGGTCGTGCCAAAAAATTTCGAAAAAATCACCGGAACGCCTAACAATTTATCCAAAAAAAAAAAAAAAATAAGAATCCGTCCGGGACTCGCGTAGTAGAACAGTGCGTTTGGATATTATAATGTTATGGCGGTTTATTTTACAGTGTAACTATGAAATTCGTAAAAATTTGCGAATTTCAATCGACGCGTATCACATCACGCGTCGCGTGCGGGACAAACGCGACCGATGGGCGAGCTGCGACGGGCGTGCCCGGCAAATCGCCCGGCGCGCGCACACAACAATCGAGTCTGGTGTTCTCGTATACTGTAAATCGTGGCATGACGATAAAATTACATTATATTGTTATAGGTACACGAGACGGGCGCGAAACTCGAAATAATAATTCTCGAAATCGTAAGCATATATATACGGCGCGCCACCGCCACCGCCGCCGACACCGGCCCGGCGTAAGACAATACATTACCTATATTATATTATAACGTACGACAATGAGCCATTATAATAATAACACGGCGATTACGTCGCAACGAGGATTTGGGTCAATGGGTCTCGGGCGCGATCGCCGTGAATCACCGTCGAAATATCTGCCGCCGCCGCCGCTGACAGCTGGAGAGTCCGTGCGTGGAGTACGAATGGCCGATTGAAGAACGTCGTCATGGCTATATATATATAAATAAATATATACATTATACATATAAATAAGCCGGTACAAAAATGTGGGTTATCCCGCGATATCTGTACACCCGATCTCCACCCAATCGCGTGTGCGTGTGTGTGTGTGTGGGTACGCTCGCTGAAGTCTCCAGCAGTGGCGGCGGCGGCGGCTCGGCGATCCCGTTACGATCGGGGCCTCTCATCGACGATCGCACGCACACACACGTCATGCGCGTACGGTGTGTCACGTTTTTTTCAATGCGCGTTTGAAGTCGTCGTCGTCGTCGTCGTACTCGTCGTACACGTCCTCCTCACTACGTATACCTGCCCACAACAACGCGAGATTCATACGTCGCGTAGCGGTCAAGGTTACGCGCACCGTCGCGGCTCTATACGATGGCGTGTGTAAACGTTCGTCCCGAAACGACCGAGCTGATAATATAATATGTATTTGTCGGTATTGCAGCATTGATTGGCACACTAAAACGCACGTCGTTCAAATTGCGTTCGCGCGCGGGGGTTATTTTTTACACATTTCATCGCTCGGCGCGGCGGCGGTCTGCAGGCGTCGCCGACGACATCGACCGCCGCGACAATCGAAAATATATCGATATTCTACAATAATAAGATACCGCGTATAGTTTATTATTATTATTATTATTCTAACGGATGTACGATATTCGCCGATCGGAAATGGCAAATGAAAAAAAAAAAAAAAATGAAAAATAACGCACGGCGTCGACATAATTCGTATATATAATACCGTTATACGGTGACTTTTTTTTTTTATATTTTTATTACCTCCTCCGCTTATTATTAACACGTTATACACACACGATTCCGTATTACAATATAACTATTATAAATATTTATGTATGTATTTGGTTCAGATATAACACACACACACATGCGAACGTGTACAGTACACATATTATTATTATACACGCACGAATATTGCCGGAAGACGCGCCGCCGCGGCTGATGGTTTCTAATTACACGATTAATTACAAAAGTTTCTTTGAAACTAAACAATACAAACAATATAGTAGGTCAATAGACGTTTTATTATCCAAAGACGATACACATTTACAGAGACGTGAAGCGATGTAGTTTTTCTATTTTTCATCCATTTCCCGTATTGTATAATATACGAGTGTATTGATGTACCTATAATAATAATATTGTAAAGTAATAAGTAATAACTAATAACTGTATAATATTTTGTATTGTATTTGCAATTGTTCTACATTTTTTTACTGACTGCATATGGTAACAACTAACAAGGTATTTAGAAATGTGCTGTAAACATATGTTTTATTAAATTTTTTACTATTTTATCTTATTTTTACGGTGTATAAAAAAATACAATAAAATTCTAATTTAGAAGGAATACATTTTATACAATATTGTGTCAAAATGACTGAAAAATAAAATAAGTTGTTGGAGAGAATATATATTTAAATTTACAGAACTCGAATTGAATAAATTCCGGACAGCTAGTGAACTGCTTAAATATTAGTTGAATTACAAAACCAGTTTATTAAAATGTTTATAGCTAAAAATGTATTTATTTTATTTTTCTTCAAATTATTGAATAATCATAATCATGATTAATTAATTTATTAATATCTACTTACAGGTTCGACAATATATTTTAAACAAAATAATAAAATTATGGTCTTAAAAATCAAAATAATTTTTAAAATTAAATTATAAACATATTTCTTAGCTTACATATATGGTGACTTCATATATTCTATTGACTATTATTGAGTGTTCAATTACAAATTCTGAAGAATTTTTTTTGTTAATGTTATTTTCATTTTTAATTATTATAATTCTATATTTTCCTTACAGTTACTACATATAATTTATATACTATCCCTGTATAAGTATACGAGGGCTGAACTTTGTGGCGGAAATGGTGAATCGCTAAAATACTTGCGGGGTGACGCGCTCATTGATAATTTGGATTGCATCGGTCCCAATGGAAAACCGTATCCAGAGTAAGTACAAAACATATTTCTATAAAACAAATTTAATCATAGATACAGTTTAAAAAGTTGATAAAAAATCGACCCAGTTTTTGAGACGTAATTTGTTGGCGTCGTTGAACAATTCTATTATTAGTATCATTCCGTTAACCGGAAATCACCGTAATTTAAAATTCATGTATTCAATTAGTTTTCAAAATTATTTATTTTTACAAAAATGTATAGGTCAATAGTAGCCGGAACGTATAGACGCACTCACAACTGGGGATCATCGAGGACAGGACGCGACGCTTTTCATTCTGACTCGAAACCCAGTCCCGAAACAGTACGGGAAACTCTACTAAAAACCTATAAATTTAATAACCACAATGAAGATTACACGATTAGTAGAACTGGTAAGTAGAGAATTCACCTCTAATATTTACTTAAAATTTCAAATATTTACATAAATGTATACTTACATAATCTAACCTATACATGTTGATGGTTGTTTTATTTATTTCACATTTTACAATTTATTTTAATGAGTATTTTTTTTTAAATATGTATTTTAACCATTTTTAAAGTAATAAATTAAAAAGCTTATAATAATATATTTTTTTTTAAATGAGATCATTTTGATTAACATATTAAATAGGTAAAGCGCATATATGTGATAAATAAAATAAAAATCGAATACAGTTATTTACTTATTTCTAGACTTCTAACAGATATAATCTGATACTATTGGCTTATTTTTTATTTCTATAATAACATGTTGACAAGATAATTGACATTATTTTGTTCTGTTTTTTGTTTCTCACATTGTACAACCATTAAATAAAAGAATAAAAAAAAAAGTAGGTAAAAACTAAATCGATATCATAAATAAAAGTAATAACTAATAACTCTTGAACGGAGTATATCGGTCATATGTATTATATAGTTATATATTTATACGATATTCACGCTATATGTAGTATGTAAAACATCAGATCATTTATTGGAAAAATAAACGTTTTCGCATTATTTATACCTGCTTAAAAAACTGCGCAACGAATTGAGTTTTATTCGGATGTTTAACAAAATAAATAAGTACCTATAAATTCAATAATGAAGTGTATATAATTTTGTATCCTAGATAAAAATGATCAAATAGTTCTAATGTACATGGTATTTTATATTATATAGTAATATTATTGAAATAATATACTATCAATATTTAATACGTAATACTTTACTCTTTGATAACATTTATAATGATATAATCGTGTTTTATGTTTATAATATACTACTTTAAATTTCAAAGTTAAATTATAATTTTTTATTTTAATAAAAATATTCAAGTATAATAGTAAATATTGCGTTTTATATTAAATCTTATTCTATTTTATTTTTAGAAGGAATTCGTTGTACCATCTTATTGTAGTTAGGTTATTGTATTTGAAATCAATGTTCATAATTTAATAAAATTAAAAAAAAAAATTAAATATGAATTCTAAGTATCTCTATAACAAACAATATATAGGTACAATTGTAGGAACCGGGTGGCATGCCAGTTGTCGGCATAATTAAAAAAAAAAAGATAAAACTGAATACATAATATTTTCAAATATTTTTTAAATGAAATACGTTTCCAGCGAAACATAATATGATTCAACGAAAATATATTATTTGTATTGATACCACGAAATTCGGATCAACATAAATTTCAAAAAATTATGTTGTCAACAATAAGGTATTTTTCTAGATAAATTATACGATTCGCATAAAATATACGGTTTCAATAATAAATATTTTAGACACGAATTATTACGATTTCGGGGAAATATGATGATTCTATATTTTACACATTATTTTACATATTCCCGTACAATCATTTCAATTCGATATTATATTTAAACGGCTTTTACAAATTAAATTTCTCTCCAATATAATCACAAAAATGCGTACATATCTACTCAATTATAATTATTTTTATACACACGATATTATTTTACATACCGTGCGCCGCACGACGATGATTTCTATTGGGAAGATAAAATGTTAATCGTATAATTCATTTATTTCACGAGATTACATTCAATGGGTGTCACGGGCGATCATAATAATGTAACACAATAACGTAAGTTTCACATATTTGTCTAACAGAAATTGACTTTCTGACAATTGTACAGGCATCACGCGACGCATCCGTATACCCAATATACTTAAACAGAAATATATAGATTTGGATTCTTTTTGATATCATGCGTGTGCGGCGCGGTTAATACTCGCGTGCACGTTCGTGAATATTTGCAGCAACTACGGTTATAATATGCGTTAATGCGTGTACGACAAACCCAACAGCAATAAAATAATTTTATGGTTTTTCAGCCCGAGAGTATGGATCGACACCAGCTGCCAACCGTGAACTATGCCAAACGCCGAACAGGCTGTGCCGCACCAGATACAACACGACTGCGCCCATGTACGGCGTGTCGCTGACGTCTGGCCAACCCGTGACTATCGTTCAAAAATTTCCGGATCTGTTACAACAAGTCGTTTATGAAGTTTGCGAGTAAGCATTATACCAAACACGGAACCAGTGGCGCAGTTATGATTTTATTCCGGGGGGGGGGGGGGGGCGTATAATTGATTGGATAAACATCAAACATTAAGTCATGCAAACACCACACCACACCGTGCCCCTTATAGCCTATTATTGTATCGCGTATTATATCCGTGATTATAAGATAATATAGATATTTATATAATCAAATAATCAAATAGTCTTATATCGAGTAGGTGTATAAGTCAATGCGCATTAAACATTAAAAAAAAAAAAAGGCTTGGGGGGGGATCTATCTCCACCATTCCCTACCACCATAACTACGCCACTGTATAGAACACCTAATACCTATTACGTCCAGTGATCAACAACCACGGCCTTTTGACTAAAGATCTAAACGCTTTTCTTTTTTTCCTTTTTTGCTTTTTCATCACAGGTCAAACGAGTGCGACATGGTCAGAGGAGAGTGTACGCAAACGTATGTACCGTACTTGTTCCTGGTAATACCTTTGGGACCGGTGACGCTGACCGGCCAAGATTACGTGCTCGTGGAAAGCGGATGCGTGTGCAAACCGAAGGGGTCCAGGTCCACCGCACACGAACTGGTGTCTACTATTCCGGCGATGCCTCGTCCGTAGGATGCGTCTACGCGTACAAAGGATAACAGCGGTATAAAAGTCATCGTATCGAAGGAACACACCTCGCCGTCTATACTACATTTATCATATTATATCATACTGTTGTCGTGAACGATATAGCCGTCCGCGTTATTTTACATTGTATTCTACGCAATAATAAAACCTAACCGTATGACGTTATAATATACTATATGGTAGCTTTACGATTAAGTCGCGAGAATCGTTCAAAAAAAAAACCAAACGCCTCGTTAACCCCATGACACCTCGCTATACATAATATACAACATGTTTTTCGTACATCTATCCGTTTACTATTTAAGTATAACACATTAACAGTCTTAACACTGCAATGTGCACTGTGTACGCGCGAATAAAAATACGACTACGCACAGTAGCGTCATGATTTTTTATTATTATTATTATTATTGTCTAAGTTATGTTTATTCGTCCATCTCAAGAGAACTCGAAGCCGATGTACACGAACTATTTACACGGGCGACTGTAGCCCGTACATAACCTCCTATAGGAAAAAAAATTCTCATGACGCAACTGTAATCTGTATATTTTATATACGTATAGGTACGGGATATGTTTTATTATTATTATAGTAATGATATGAATTACATGATTATTATTTGTATAATGTAATGCTCAACTTATGCATTGGCAACAAATATGTTTAATTTATTACGCATAAACAATGTATTTTTAATATGCTGTATACGCAGTTTGCCTTACCGTAATAGTCAATATTTTACGTATGGACAGGTATATTTTACACGATTTTTTTTTTTAAAATTTATGTGATACTGTAATAATGATCAATTCATTTAATATTTAAAGTATTCAATTAAGTTAATTAATAATATTAAGATAAGAAATCTAAAATTTAAATATTTTTTATTGTTTATTTATTTTTTTTACCAAAGTACATTTTAAATTATAAAGACAATATATTATTAACATTTCAACTGACCAAAAAAATCAGATTCAATTATCTACATGGTATATGATGAACATTTTTTTTTTTTAAATTGTTAAACTCTAGTGGTAAAATACTTAATAAAAACAAAATTCTAAGTAAAACAACACTATTTTGTAGACAATAAATACTTTAAACGTAAGGTACACGTAAGCACATGCAAACCTAAAAATTTTGACAATTATATACATTACACAGTATACTTATGTAGTTATGTATAAATTATGTGCTCAATAATCTAAAGAAATGGACAGAGTCTACAAAAATATCTTACTTGCGCGTATTTATATAATTTGTAAATATATACAAGACTATAGAAGTAATTAATTTAATAAGTATAGTAAATAAAATTGTACAGTAGGTGCTTTTTGTAATTTATTATTAATGAATTATATATATATATATTTAAATATGTGTAAGCAAATAAAAAATAAAATTATACTTAATAAAATGGTATGTTTTTTTTTATAAATTATCTTTTACTATACCTACTAATGATACTTAAGTAGAATTTTTTATTTACCTTTCCACACAAGATAGATTTGTCTATAATTATTTAATCGATTAAAATCTTTATGTATTTTAAATCTTTTATCTGTATATTATAGAATATAAAGTTTAAAAATATGAATAACTCATGTATATGTGTCTTAAAAATGTATACAACATATGACAAAATGTATACGTTTAATTGATTCAATTTTTTACTGTTACTTTAAAGAATTAACTTATACGATATTATTTACTTTTAACACTTAATAATAAGTTGACAGTAATATCATAACATGAAATTAATTTTGCTGAGCACACATTTCGCTACATATAGAGACATAATATTATAGTACATATGTGTAAAATGGAGACAGCACACGCAAAATCATATCATAACGATTTTATTAAGTACTTATTATTAGTCAGAAAATTTATTGGGTGATAGTATTACTTTTATAAAGGCGATTAATATAATGACTATTTGTATAAGTGCAACCAGTTATAAAAGTCTTAACGCGTGTTATATCTTATATGATATTTTTGATCACGTAAATCATTAATTAAAAAACCAAAATTAATATTGAATATTGTATTGCCGTTCATTATTGTTTAATTCTACTGTATTTCATCTAATTTAGTTACTATAATAACATAGATTATATTTAGATTTGTACGGACATAATATTATAAAAATATAATAATAAATTAAGTATTAACTACGATATTATAAAGTTTTTGATAAACATCGAAATAACAACACACCACATAATGTCAAAAGTAAAAATTATAAAAAAATAATTAAATATATATATTGTACATATTTTTTTAATATCTATTCAAATTTTATCTGATGTCGTATGGTCATTAATCATATTATTAAAATAGGTTGTTAGAAGATATTGAGTAAATTGCATACGTATGCATGTTTATATATTTTGTTTAGAAAAAATGTGCTGGCTATAAGACTCGTTCTAATTGTAGTCAAAGAAACACAATAATAATGTTTATTATTTACCTATAAAATATAATTTTTATCTTCAGTATAGTTTATATTTCGCAACAAAAAATCGCTCTTACTAAAATAGATATTTTTTTGCAACTTTAAACTAATAATTAATAACTGTTTAATAATGGAAGGTGATAATGGAACAACGAATTTGATGACTGACGGATTATTAGTAACTGCTACGACAACGGGATTGCTGGATGAATTTTTTGTTCAAATACGTTCGGCTATAGAACTGAGTGAAGACTCAACGCCTCAGGAATTGGACATATGCTCAAACGAAGACAATGTAATCATCGAAGAATTATTGGTGATTCCGTCCGGAGGGATGCTCGATGATTTCTTTGCACAAATACGTTCGGACGTGGACATGTATTCGCATCACTTGTCTGCGTCTGTTTCTTCGAGCGACATTGACGAAAATGAATGTCGGTTCTTGTCCTCAAATGTTCAATTCGATCCTACAAACGAAATAGTAGCTGTAAGAACTAGGTACTTTTATGTGGATAGGGCGTACCTTGACACGCAAAATGTAACCTGCACGACTGCAGTCAAGGTAGACCACGGATCGATCGAAAACTTTAGCGAATTTCCACCGACAACACCGTTACGAGTGGAACTTCAAGTAACAGAACCGCTGACCTCCGATGAGGATCTAACGTGGGTGACGGACTTAAAAAGTATGTGGCCATCAGAATTACAGCAAATATGTTCATCTAGCGGAAATCAATTGTGGCCATCGGATGCAGAGGAGGAGGTGATGGACGTGTTACCTGCAGGTATCGATGAGACTGCAGGTAACGACTCGGTGGAAACAATTTCTGAACCGATGCCAAAAAAACGAAAATCATTCTTGTCTGCATTAAGGAGAGTGCTCCTGAGTGTCGGAAGAAAATTTTGTTGCTGCAGCGGTCGCCGTAGACAACGGGCTACAGACGCGTCGTCGGAATACAATTTTTAAGGACAATTACGACGACTACACAGTGGAAATCGTCTTTGAACACTATATATTGGCAATTGCACATGATTTGACGATATTGACGATAATTAGACAACGATGAGTGTCTTATCCACTTATAATTGTAAACCGTATGCATGGTATTCGCCCATAGGTCGCGCCAATTCCGGAAACTGTTTACTAACCACCCGGACTCGAGTCACTGGTTGACACCAGATGAAAATAATTTGTCGATATAATTCTCAATATCTGCAGTATGTAAACGGTGGCATACACATGATATCCACACAGTGGATTGCTGTAAACCTTGTCAAAGTCAACTTGTTGTCACCATCGCCTCATCGAGCGCCATGCGTAGATACACTGCATCTTAGTCTATATAGTCCATTACGAGAAAAACTAGTGTTAAGTTATGTTTTTTGTATCTGAAAAGATACTATACTTTGTTGATGTATCGTTAATATAATAATTTTGACAAAAAAATTGTTTATTTTTTTAGAATTCTGATTGGATCTGTATACTATAATTAATAATTATTATTTATGTTTTAAAATAATTTTGCAGTTTACGGCATGTAATAATACGCAATGGTTTAATCAATGTTTTGTGATCTCCGCAGAAAATAATAATTAAACAATATAAGTATATACGTATAGTAGAACTACAAACGTAAACATAACGTTTACCTCAGATAATGGAACTATTAGGTTGTATCAAGAAATAAATGGTAGCTGTGTGATTGAGATAGATTATAGTAAAAACGTAACATAACACATATTTGAAAGCGGTTAACTATTCATCTTGCTCACTTTATCTAAGGATGTGGTAAGTACGTAGTAGAACGTAAATACATGGTATGTTATGGAATTTTTGATTTATGTATGATGTCATTTTTATTGACAATAAAATACCTTAAAATGAATCATTGGATGCCTGCTCTTTATTCTATCTCGTCATCACGCCGTTTACTTATTATTATAAAATTTATTTATTGTATCATTATTCATTTGAATACTAAATATGTTTAAAAAAAATAAAAAAGTTTTTATTACAATGAATAAAAAATATCAAATTAGTATACATAGCCACAATAATTTTTAAAAATTTTAAATTTTTATAAATTCCAGTATTTCTACAGTCACAGAAATCTATGAATATTGCTTTATAGTATAATAAGTGCAAAATGTATAAAGTTTCTAAGTTTAACACCTAAAATTTTTAACCAGTATTGGCTGTTATTATTATAATTATGGTCACGCATTGTTACTTTGATAATCACATATATTGAGCCTATTTTTAATATTTAAAAGAGTATGTACCTACGTATATTATACTCGTGTCATATTATAATTAATATGTGTTGACGTGTTATGTGTTTGCATTTCCTCCATGTGACTTGTATGTACGTACGCATAAACTCGGGGACGTGTGAATCATGGGAACACAACGGTGCGTATTGCTCAACCAAAAAGGATATGACCAAAATAGTGGAGAAAGAACCTATACAAGAGAGCTCGAAATAGGCTTTTTCCAAATGCGATTTACCAGTAAACACCTTTAAGGCAGTCTATATCAGAATTGTGTTTTGAATTACTTGGTAATATGTTCAATGAAAAAAAAATAATATTTTGAAATAATTTGAGACTTACATTATTTATGCCGCAAACTACTTCACACGTTTATACTCAGTTGTTTATATGTGGAACCGCTACATCATAATGTTGTAATTTTATAATGCATAACTATATAATAGTATGTCAGTGCACAAAAAATTAATAAAAAATAATATGGTTTTCTTAATCGTATTGCAAATAATTTATTGAAAAAAAACACTTGAAATATTTAAAGAATAAAACTATGAAACCATTGTAATGAAATTCCAAGTCTTTTATACTGTAGTGCTACCTATATTTGTTATAAAATAAATTTACCTATCATCTGTATTATACTGTACATATTTTTAAATACAAACATAAGTATAAATAATAAATAATCGACTATTTGAAGTTAGTCTGTTACTATAAAATTAGGTAATTAAACAAAAGCTGAAAAAAAACAAACAAAAATTTATCGCCCGGACAGGGACTCGAACCCTGGACCCTTAGGTTAAAAGCCTAATGCTCTACCGACTGAGCTATCCGGGCTTCTGATAACGAAGTGATAAAGCAGTGGATTTCAAGAAATTTTATGTCGTTCTTATAATAAATTATTAAAATAATTTCAAAGTTATAAGCAAGGCTTGGGACTTTATATACTTAAGATCATAAAAATATGCGCATATGTATGCAAAATAAAATGTCAAAATATGCGCTTAAATATATGTTTATTTTTAACTAAAAAAATACGTACTTATTACAATACGTACAAATTAAATTTAAAAAAATTATATCTTTTACAT